GCATGAAAAGACCACCTACAACATCTATACCTGGGATCTAATCAGTTGCTCTGCACCTTCTTTCAATTACAGGATCCCTGCCACGTTTATGGGGACTTTTAATTTGAGCATCACATTTTTGAAGGCCATATCATTATGACCATGTTTGATCTAAGGGTGGGAAACCATGAGTTCAAAAACTGCCTGTACAAGGTTACTCTGAACTGAGCTGTAAATTGGAATCAACAAGAGCCTACTGTGGAAAAGAAAAAAAAAACCTGTAATGGAAAAGCTTATATACTGTGGAGATTGCAACCATGAGAAAGTGGTCCCATTAAAATTACTCTCAATTCTGCTCAGGAAATGAAATTAGTTAATAACAAGTACCACAGTTTTGTCAAATAACACTATTTAAGGACATTTTGAGAAGGGAAAGATGATAATAGATATAAGGACAAATATATCCTCTCCATTTGAGTCTGGCAACAGGATATGATTTACAAATGAAAAATTAAATTTTCATGATTGTTAGAAGAACTGAATTGCAGCTTTATTTTTTAAAGATTTTATTTATTTGAAAAGCACAATTACAGAGAGAGAGAGAGAGAGAGGGAGAGAAAAGAGAGAGATAGAGACCTTCCATCCACTGGTTCACTCCTTCAATGGCTGCAACAGTTAGAGCTAGGCCAGACTGAAGTCAGGAGCCAAGAGCTCTTTCTAGGTCTCCCACATGGGTGCAGGGGCCCAAGGACCTGGGACTTCTTCCACTACTTTCCCAGGCCATCAGCAGAGAGCTGGATCAGTAAGTGGAGCAGCCAGGACTTGAACTAGTGCCCCCACAGGATGCTGGCATCACAGGAGGTGGCTTTACCTGCTACGCCACAATGCCAGCCCCTTGAATTGCATTTTATGTAAAAATAATCCTAACCATAAACCAACCAATTCACAATGCAAGTGACTTCCCAGCCATTAAGAATATAAACGCTTAAGATGTGAGTGAGAAGACCCCTAACTGAAAACTAGCTTAGGCTACACTACAGAAGAGGAGGGGTATCTTTGGTCAATTATGGTTATTATGTGACACCCTGTGTTCAGATATTCTGACGCAACAGAAAACGTCTTCACCTTTTTTTTTGTTTGTTTGGGCTGTCTCATGCATTCCTTTGACTTAACCTGCTACATCCTAAGTTTCATCTGTCTCTCTCTCCTGAAGCCTAGGATTCCACCTGTGTGTCTTCTACATATGTCAAGCTAACAAGTCCAAAGTTTATTTCATTGTCTTCTATCCCAAATCTAATCTTCTGCAGCAGCCAGTGAACCAAACAAGGAAAAGGAGAGTTATCCTTTTCTTCTGTTTCATTTTGTACTAACAATTGGTTGTCCTGTTCTGTTATTAATAGAAGAGCTTGTTAATATTTACAAGTACGTCCATTCCTTTTGGATTCTTACAGCCAGTGCTTTTGCTCAAGTTCTTCACTAGCCTCCTACTCTTCCAACCTTTCTATAATGCTGTTAATAGTATTTGTTAAACAACAACAAAAATCAAAGTGGTCTACCCAAAAATCCCACACATGGACAAAAAACAAATCCAATGTGATCACATCACTCTTTTGCATACCATGTTTCCCTATTTTCTATTGCCCTTATGGCAAAGTTCAGAGTGGCTGGCAAGTCAAACTGTGACTCAACTCTTGTCTTTGCTCTTGTGTTGATCCCATCTGCCCAAGGATCTAGCCACATCAAGTCTCTCGGCATTCCTCAGACACCTTGTGTCTTTCATCCTCCTGAGACACACAGTGCTTTTTTCTACCTGGAATGCCCATTGTAACTTGTCTACTGTAAATTCCTAACTTTTGATGTCCCCATCTGTGCAACTGGGTGATAGTAGGGTTCATGTGTGAAGGTTTTTATGAGAACTAAATAAAAAAAGGTGATTTGTTTTTCTTATTGAGCTAATAGAAGCACTCAGTATATGTCAGTTATCATTATCATTGTCATCACGGTGGAGGGGGAGGGGGAGGGGGAGGGGGCCATTCCCCAAATGGCCACAATGGCTGGGGCTGGGCCAGGCCAAAGTCAGGAGCATGTAACTCTATCTTGGTCTCCCACATGGGTGGCAGGAACCCAAGCACTTGAGCCACCTTCCACTACTTTCCCAAGCACATTAGTAGGGAGCTGGGTTAAAAGGGGAGTAGCCATGTTGGTGCTTATATATGATACCTGCATTCTAGCTGGTGGCTTAACCTGCTGTGCCACAACACCTTCCACTATCATGTATTTGTTAACTGCAGACCTTCTGGAACACGAAGGTGTCACTTGATGTAGAAGTATACTGTCACCTCCTTTGGTGAGGCAGTCCTGACAACAAACAATGACTAGACTCAGTGAAAATGGGTACAGGGCACCTTCTCAAACTCTACACGCCAATAACCCAGGGCTCATGGAGAGAAGACAGCACAATGATTTGAAGAGTTGAGTGAAAGAATGCCTTGGGACTCTGTTGCTACAATAGCACTCTCTCATAGAAATAAAATGTAAGTCACAAATAGAATTTTCAATTTTCTAGTAGCCATACTTAAAAAGTAAAAGAAATGGATAAATTAGTATTAATTATCTATTTTACTTATTTAACCTAATATAGCCAACATATCACTTTACCATGTAATAACATTAAAAAATCACAAATGAACAATTTTACATATTTTTTCCTAAGTTCTGAAAAGGTTGTGTGTGTTTTACCCTTGTAGCACATCTCAATTTGGATTAGCTTCCTTTTAGTTGTTCAATAGCCCCATGTGGTTAGGGTGTGCCATACTGGATAGCATAATTCTAGATTGTTTTTTAAACAAAAATTTAGAAGCAAAATAACAGTAACAGGCTATTTCAATAGGTTTCTCACCACACATTGTTGGAAAGGTTTATAATTCCCACAATATTCTTTTTAATGTTCTTAAATTTTATAACAAAGATAATCTTTCATTCAAATTAATCTTGTACCTTGTTTTGGCTGACTTTGTTTTAACCATGGGTTTTTTGCTATTTCTAATGTTCTTTTTACCTTTTCTTTACTCTGTTAAAGCATAGCTGCTGATATTCATTTGTAGATCTTTTCCCAAGAAGGCAGTCCTTCAGACAAGGTCCAGGAGAATAGGATTCATCTTGTATTCCCAGCGTCTATCATGACACTTAATGAATAGCAGACTCTGAATAAATCATCTGTGACTATACATTAAAAGGTAAACTAAGCTCAACAGTAGTGGAACTTGGATTCCACATTGGAATCACCTGTGGAGTAAAAAAAAGGCCTGGACCAGAAATGCCAGTGTTTTGTCTAGAACCTGTCTGGGATGCTGAGAATTTTAAAAATCTTCTACTACACAATAGTGTCATAAACCACTAGTTTTGGGCTTTCTTAGACTAGCTTACCATGGGTATACTGTTGCTTCCCTGAAACTATCCACTTGGCCTCTGGCCAATTCCCTTTTTCTGGACATACCATAAATTTCTTGAAAAACATTAAAGAGGCCAATATGTAATCACAAAGGGTGATTTGTAACTTCCTTTTCTAAGATACCAAAGAAAATCTTCAAGGTTCTAAATCTATTCATATTTGTCTTTTTTCAACAAAAGGAATAAAATTAACAATATAAGCATTTTAAAATGTCGGCTAGTTTGAAGGAAGATTCTAAGGTCATTAGAACACAGATAATACCTGATATACACACTGCAGAATTTTCCAGCTATGGAATAGTAGCAATTAAAAAAACTAGAATTAAAGTACAATGAGCCTCATTTCAAGTTAATTCTATATATATATATGTCAAAAGTAGATATTATTAATTGGGGATCAGTGGAGGGAAGTTTTTAATGCTTTTCTTCAAGCTATTTAGAATTGTGTAGTATAATATAAAGCAATCTATTTACTTTGATAAGTCACATACAAAATCCATCTAATTACAGTCATATAGTTTATGGGTTCTGGTGTTATTGCTTGCTCTCAAGATGATATTTTATTTAATGGCATTACTTCCATATGGAAGTAGTGGCCAAGAGAGAACTCTGCCTTTTGGTTCAAATAAACAGTCCCTCATCATGAAGGAGGGGGAGGCTGGAATTGAAGTCTGCTAACTTATGGACTGAGAGTTTCCCTGCCAGCCCCAAGGTGAATGGGCCATACTTTGTGGATTCACCCTGCCTAAGAATCTTTGTAAATGATGTAGTACCATGTGGCCTTACTCAGTGATAGAAATAGCGCATTGAGATATCCCTCAAGGCTCCTACTTGCAGTTCTTCCCGTTTTCTAGCAAAGAAAGAAATCTCTCTCCAACCATTGTACACTTATTTTCTGTTTAATATCATAAGATGAATTTGAGAAATTAGAATAAGAAATATCTAAAAGACATTCAACTTTTACATTCACTAACCCCAATCAACAGTCGTTTTCTACTCCTGCCCAAATTGTGGAGAAAGGAACCAAATCTGCTGAGATTTCTAAATACAAGATGGCTTGCCTTGTTATGTTCATCTACTAACGCCAAAGGACTGATGAGTACAAAGTGACTGGATGCACAACACTGACTTGACCCAATTTTCCTATCAGAAAAGAACTAGAAAATGCTATGCAGGGTTCCAGGTTGATACACTCATCAAGACACTATCCACCTGCTTTTTAAGCTAACAAATTTGAAATGCACAGCTTTATAATTCTAGGGTGTACACTATTTGTCAGTTAAACACACACCAAGGATCCCCTGAAGAGACAAAACTGTCCTCAAGGAGTTTACACAATCAGAAATATCATGAAAGGATTTTAAAAATTCGAACAGATTTGAAAGTTGACATAAAGTCATAGAACGACTCCATCTGAGCATGTAACCACCTTGGGAAGATAGATTGATGGAGCCACTGGAGTGGCCTGAGGTCAGCCAGGATGCAGAGGGCAGCAGGACTCAGAGAAAGGCTCATGGCACCAAGGGTGTTTCAAGAGTAGCTTGTGTGTGTGTGTGACTGCCGAGTCTTACCTCTGTGGAAGAATTCTTCTAGTTTGTCCTTGAAAGGCTGCAGATACTCCTTGGGAGACTCCTTGCACACCACCATCATCTGTTTCTCACTGGCTGCGAAGAGAAATTTAGAATTAAATTACTGAAGAACACTTACAGCCTGAGCTTTTGTTGAGGGGCAGGCACTGTAGCATACACTTGGGTATCCATTGTGCAGACTCCTTTGTCCATCACTGTGTATCCATATTCCAGGAGTAGATTGGGGAGGGAACAAAAAGAGAAATAATAAAGACATCAACAAAAATAATTAGTTCCTCTATATCTGTCTTCAGGAACAGAGAAAATATATCACTTTCCAGGATAGTTAAAGCGATCTGCCATTTTTTAAAAAGACTTATTTATTTGAAGAGCAGTGAAAGTTAGAAAGGGAGAAAAAGAGAGATCTTCCATCTGCTGGTTCATTCTCCAAATGGCTGCAATAGCCAGGGCTCAGCCAAGCAAAGGCTAGGAGCCAGGAACTCCGTCCAGGCCTCCTATGTGGAAGGCAGGGGCCCAAGCACATGGGCCATCTTCCACTGCTTATATAGGCCCATTAGCAGGGAGCTGGATTGGAAGTGGAACAGCAAGGACTTGAACTGATGCCCATATGGAATGCCAGTATTGCAGGTAGTGGCTTAACCTGCTGTACTATGATGCCAGACCCCATGTGTTCTGCTTTTGGTCTCCCCCAAATAATGAGAAGTAAACATGGACTTAAGGGCTAATCACAGGGAATTAAGAGCACCAATTGTCTTCAGAGTCATCCTCCAAAAGTAGAGCTTGCAAAAGATTTTGCAGGGATTCCCAAGCAAACTGATGTCGTCTCAGGGTGACATACACATCCAAGTAAAAGAACTAAGCCCACATTAGGAAGCACCATGTCTGTTCTTCATGCTTCCCGTTCATCGGCTCTCCTGATTAGTGGCCTACAAAAACACATGGAACAACTGCATGTGATTTACTTCAGACAGAATATATAAGACTTATTTAAAAACTGCTTTTTTGATAATCAGGTGTCCTAAAATAGGATAGTTCTGATTTGGCTCTGGAACGAGGCATCTCCTCAAGATTTCTAAAAGCCTGTTCCAGTTGTGGAAATGTCCAAGGGGGAAAAAGGGTTTCATTTCTCCAAAGCTAGAGCTGAGTCGCGATAATTTTTGTCTGTTGACCATGGGCAGAAATTACTGGTATGTCCTTGTCCAAGCGACCATATTAGAGCACTGGATTATCACCTGCAAAGAATTCATGCCATCTGATTGAAAAAAAAATAGAGAAATGTACACCCCAGGTCTTAGATGAATTAACAAACAAAAAGATAAAGTATTTTGGAAGATGAAGGTTGGGAAATGGGTATTTACACTGAGAAATTCCTATCTAATAATTTGACATTTTCAAAATTAGCATCCTAGAACATTTACTACAGACAAAACAAGGAACATGTCAGCTTCAAAACACAGAAAATGCACTCACATGCCCTCTGACATTAGTTATCAGATATTGTTCATTTGCAATATTGCTAACCAGACTTCTAAAATCCTAGACTGTTCTAAAGATGAAAGCATGATTTGAGGGAACCCCGTGCCATTTTCTGAGTCAAATTCAGAATAACCTACATTAGAGTATTCAGGCATTCATCATGAGACAGGGAAGCTGGTTCATAGAAGTGTCTTGATTCAGTTCTATCTCTTGACATTGTGACTTTCTAAGAGTTTTTAAGGGAACTTATGCAGAATACCTGCTATTAGCTATTCTGACAACTACTCCAGTGCTAGGCAGGAAACCCTGTTCTTTGGAATACCGAGGCTAATTTATGAATCAAAACCAAAATGATGAATTTTTTAAAAAAATTATCTACCTCATTTAAAAAATAACAAATTTGGACAGATGGAAAACAAAATCCTCATTTTAATACATTCCTGTTTGGGGCCAGTGCTGTGGTATAGTAGGTTAAGCATCTGCCTGCAGTGCTGGTATCCCCTATGGGCACTGGTTAGAGTCCTGGCTGCTCTACTTCCAATCCAGCTCCCTGATGATGGCCTGGGAAAGCAGAAGACAGTACAAGTGCATGGGCCCCCATACCTGTGTGGAAGACCTGGAAAAAGCGCCTGGCTTTTGGTTTCAGATCGGCCCAGCTCTGACCGTTGTGGCCATTTGGGGAGTGAACCAGTGGATGGAAGACTTTTCTCTTTGTCTCTCCCTCTCTCTGTCTGTAACTCTGCCTCTCAAGTAAATAAACAAATCTTTAAAAAGAAAACATTTCTGTTTGCACATTTTTAGTTTTCTCTGCAAGCTTACTTGTCCTTTCTGTAGTGTAGTAACTACTAACTTCTCTGCTATTATCAATTTCCCTAGAAGATTTCTCCTAGCAGATGGACTTGTAGTCAAATGGTAAGGATGTCTTTCTAACCACTGTTTTCTTCTCAAAATAGGGGTGCTTTGGACTAGAGAGGTGTCAGAGGAGAGAGAGAGAGGGAGAGAGAGATAGAGCTGGGATATGATTTGGAGGTGGACAAGTCAAGTCTTTCTGATGCATTCCATGTAGGCTTGAGGGAGAAGTAAGGATGAAGGATGAGCAATGGGTGGCTGGAAGTGCCATTTGCAAACATGGGGAGGAGTGCGACTGGCATCTCTTTATTCAGTTCTATTTTTTTTTTCCAAATAGGGTGAGGCGATCAAGATTTAAATATTGAAACTTACGCAGTTTTCTCTGGTCTCCATGAGTTATAGAGATCTTCCACTCAAAACAAAGAGTGGAAAGATACAAAAAAGACAAAACTATTAATAAGTTTTCATTGCTAGCTCAATTAAATTGAGATTCTCAAGCCTAGGATTTAAGGGTTTTTCTACCAAGGTATCTCTCAGTACTATTTCCTATATATATAATTTGTTTATTTATTTGAAAGTCAGAGTTACACACAGAGAGAGAGAGAGAGGGAAAGGCAGAGAGGAAAAGAGGTCTTCCATCCACTGGTTCACTGCCCAGATGGTCGCAATGGCTGCAGCTGTGCTGGTCTGAAGCCAGGAGCCAGGAGCTTCCTCTGGGCCTTCCCACGCAGGTGCAGGGCCCCAAAGACTTGGACCATCTTCTACTGCTTTCTTAGGCCATAGCAGAGAGCTGGATTGGAAGTGGAGCAGCGGGGACACGAACTGGCACCCATATGGGATGCTGGCACTGCAGTTGGCAACTTTACCTGCTATATACCACAGTGCCGGCCTCATCCCACATATATTTGACCAACCAAACCAAAACCATTCAATGATGTTTAATTTAATTATATCAACCAATCTTCCCAGTTCCCTATCTTCATTACTGTGGCTCTCTACTTTCATTCCATACATACTTTCCACTATAGCTGACAAAGGCCTGTTCATCCTCAAAGGTTTCTGAGGTGCCACAATCACTAAATGCCTTTCCATTCAAGTTTGTGCATCCTTCAAATATCTCCAGCACTTTTTGTATGGTGTATGTTTTACTTTCAACTATACTTATTTGTGTATTTATACTCATCCCTGAGCAGTCGTCATTGTGGGTTTCATTTACTTGTCCTCAAATTCCTCTGGAGAGATCAATGAATCTGAGCAAAGGAGCAGATTTCCTCACCTTAACTAGATTCTCCTGGGGAGGAAAGTCTAGATAAAACTAGCAGTGCTGATTCAGGCTCGGAATAGGCTTTCCAGGCATGTGATGTGACCTGCTTGTCTCTCTCTCCGTTCCTCCCCTTCCAGGAGAGGTGAGCCAAGGGCTGTACTCTCTTCATTCCTAAATATTGTGAGGTGTTCCAAGTTGATCTGAAAGAGTTTAATTTAAGAGGGGATTTCTGAAAGACCATGGGAAAATGGAATTTAAAAAGATCAACTCATTTGGTTGCAAAAAAAAATGGGATGCTCTGCATTTTTTCATAATATGCAGTTTCTATAAACTTTTTGAAGGTCTACTGTAAAGATTAATCCCCCTCTTTGCCCCCCCCCACAAAAAAACACTTCTACCCATAAAGCATAAACAAGAGAGCAAAGGTATTCTGATTGGACAGCTCTGAGGGTAGGCCAAGAAGCTTGCCTTTGGCTAGATACACTTTGAAAGACAATTGTTTTGAAGAATAGTCATTTGTCAATGAATTTTCATGGCCAAATGGTAAGGATCTACTTCTCTGACTATATCCAACTATGATTCTGAGAAAACATGTAGCCATTTAAAGGAATACTAGAATTTCTAACTACATATATACTCATATGTATATATAGTGTATAATATATACATATATTATACACTATATATACATATATATGGAGAGTCCTTTAACTTCGCGTGTTAACCTTCTACTACATCCAAATTCCGACAATTTCATTGATACAGAACAAATTTTTCATGAATGTGAATAATATAAGGCAAAGCACATCTGCAATTCAATAACAGGATATAATTGAAGGCATCACAACAATTCCCCCAAGGTCACTTCTAACTCACCAAAGCAAACCCAAAGGCAGTACTTACTTTCCCAATTACAAAAGTAAAACTTGCACTTTTACATGAAATGAAAGCATTGATCATTACAGCTCTCCCTTTGTCCTGGCTCTGGTGACACAGTCCATGGTGTGCCCATCAAACTGCTCAAATGTTATGAGGCCAGATCATGGAGTGGTAAAGAACTTGTGCTTTGGTAGACACCAGTCTGCGCTCAGGTGGGCTGTGCTTATATTTCTCGTCTGCAAAATGGGAAATTCTCTCACAACACTAAATGAAAATTGAATGAAATAATGCATGTAAAGAGGGTTTGAAGAATGCCTTGGCACTTGTAAGCAGGCTCATAAATATTATTTTCATGATTTAATAACATTGATTGGGAAACACGTCACAGCCAGAAGAGCAAGAGAGTCATGACTGGGGATTATTTGCTCAAGATGCTATGCACTATATTTATGGAAATACGTCAGAGTGCAAATCTGTTTAGAACACAGGGATAATGATTTTACTTCTCTTGATGAAGTTCTACTACCCATTGTGAGAATTCATGGAAAAATATAGACAAACTCTTGGGGAAAGATGAAGCAAAATGTGAAACAATTCCCCTGGGCCT